CTCAAGTTGTAGAGTACTAGCCTTGAGCAAAAAAGCTCAGGGAAAATGCCCAGGCCTTGATTTCAAGACCCAGGACCAGAACACACATGCACAAAAATTCCTATCAATATATAACATAATTGTCCACACACAAATGACTGTTAGTGTGTATGTCTGTCAATACTTTGAGTAAATAACTCTATTATACTCAAACCCAGGGCCAACCCTTTCTTCAAAACAAAATAGTATATGTAATAGGTGTGGCTTTTAAGCCGATAAAGGCCTTCCTATTTATTATTGCTTTTTGATAAATATTGCTCCATTCATACTGTTAGAGAGCATGAACATGTAGAACTTGTCTCAATTCATGGATCTCTTGGATATATTTTCCAGGAGTCACTTCAGGAGAAAAACTGAAGCCCAGCTATGGAGGCAGTATGAACCTCTTTTGCATTTCATTTGATTAAAGAGGAATGAAAACTCAGGCCATCTTCATATAATGAATGCTAGTCACACCTAGAACCATCAGAGTTGGTAGATGTCTACCAGACTCATGAGAGGGAGAGCTCAGATACTCTTAGGAAGTGTCCTCTGTGAAAATAGATTATTTTAAGTTTGGAATGCACTGTAGATTTACTCTGTAAATAGGTATTTTAGGTGCCTTAACCTGCCAAGTATCTTAAGTCAATTTTACAACTGGTTTAAAATTTTAGACTGGGAGATTGGGATATGGGAAGACACTTGGCAATCTGTGGGATGGGAATTGGATATAAGCCCAAGATTAAAGCCTGGTGAGGTGGGTTGTTCACAAGTTCTTCTGGAGCACTGTCCATGGACTCCTAAGTGACTGTTGTGGTCCAGGCTTTTCCATATAAGGAACACGGAGAAATATTATCATGCTTGTGTCTTTTGAGTCAATTGACAACAATTGATAATAAAGCTAAGATTTTAAGGTGGTGATAGCTTTTAACGTTCCTGACACTTCCAAATTTCCACTTTGTTAAGGAATGAATAATTTTCTTTTTTCCTTGTTTTTGGCAGAACTGAGATTTGAGCTCAGGACCCTGAACTTGCTAGGCAGATACTCTACCACTTGAGCTATACGCTCAGCCTTTTTTTTTTTTTTTGGCTTTTGTTATTATTTTAATAAGTTCTTGGTTTTTTGCCCAGGCTGACATGGACCACAACCCTATTTATACTTCGCTCATAGCTAGGATGACTGGAGATTACCACCACACCCAGCTTTCATTGATTGAGACTGAGGTCTTGCAACTTTTTCCTTCTAGGCTGTCCTTCAACTGTGATCCTTCTCTCAACCTCCCAAGTAGCTAGGATTATAGGACCAAGTCATATTGTTCCTGTGTTCTTCACCACACATGCCTGCTATTTTGTAATCCATTCATCTACATCTCCCCATTTCCTCCTTTTTGTAAAAAATATTTTTTTATTGTGAAAATACTGTGCAGAGGGGTTACAATTACATGAACAAGGTAATGAGTACATTTCTTATCAAGCACTGTTGCCTCCTCCTTTGTTTCCCCTTCCATCCCTTCCCATCTCCATCCGCTCCCCCATTTCCTCCTTTCTTCACCAATTTCAGTCTCTGAAGAGATTGTACTCTCTTCAGATAGTTTGTATATAGATATATTTATGCAAAATTTTCTTTCTGTGTCTGCTTTATTTCATATTACATAATGTCTTCCAATCTGTTCACAACATGGATAGTAAATCTCCTTTTTAGTTTGGAATTGGAGTATTTCCTTTGTGTGTGTGTTGATGCCACATTTTGTTTATCTTTGTGAGTATGAGTATTTAGAGGCCTGATGTATCACATGAAGACTACAGTTTGGAATAGTTATTGTAAGTCAGGATTTTGCTCAATGGGTAAGTTATAGGGAATATGGGTAACTCTAATATGGTATGTTACTATATGAATCCCATAGCTTGTAGTATACTTAAATATATACAATATATACAATAAGACTGATTAAAAATTTTAATATTTTTTCAGGATCACAAAACACAGTAAAATTTAATAGACCTAAAGTTTTTGGCAAATAAAGCACACTTTGAACACACATATTTTTTTGTCCCTCATTGAAGTATAATTGACACTGTACAGAGAGTGCAAGATGTCCTTAGGAGTTCTGCTTTTGAGGTTAAAAAGAAGATATAGCAGGGTGCTGGTAGCTCATGCCTGTAATCCTAGCTACTTAAGAGGTTGAGATCTGAGGATCATGGTTCAAAGTCAGCCAGGACAGGAAAACCCATGAGACTCTTATCTCCAATTAACCGCCAGAAAACCGGAAGCTGTGGCTTAAATGGTAGAGTGTTCATCTTGAGCTGAAGAGCTCAGGGACAGCACCCAGGCCTAGAGTTCAAGCCCCATGACCCACCAAAAACAAAAGAAGATATGAAAAATTGCATCATCCAAGTGCTGTCAGTCTCCAGAATTAGGATTTGGTGGAGCTGGAGGTGTAGTTCAATGGTACAGTCCTGTTTAGCATGTTCTGGGCCCTGGTTTGATCCTCAGCATCAAAGATAGAGAGGAACTAGAGAGGGAGAAGAAGAGAGAAAGAGAGTAAGATGGAGCAATGGAGGTAGAATTAGGATTATAAAGTTACTATGTACTCAGAGTTTTTAGTAAGGAACAAGGTCATATTTGTATATGATATAAAAAGTTATTTTATGATAAATATGTAGTTCAGATATCTAGAAACTGAATTAGTCTAAGTAAGACTAGAAAAATCAATAAAAAGTGTTAACGCTTGAATATTGCTGTTACTATTCAAAGTTATTTTCTTTCTTTCTTTTTTTTTTTTTTTGCGTTGATCCTGGACCAGCACCCTGCACGTGTGTGCGCATGTGCGCTCGCACACACACATTCTTTTTTTTTTTTTTTTTGGGTCCGGTCGTGGGGCCTGAACTCTGGGCCTGGGCACTGTCCCTCAGCTCTTCAGCTCAAGGCTAGCATTCTACCACTTGAGCCACGGTGCCACTTCCGGCTTTTTTCTTTTTGCTTATGTGGTGCTGAGGAATGGAACCCAGGGCCTCTGGCATGCAAGGCAAGTGCTCTACCACTGAGCCACCTTCCCAACCCCCCCCCCCACATTCATGGTCTCCTGCCTGCCCCCCTGCCTGCAAGGCAGGTGTTCTACCACTCAATATACCTTTCTAGCCCTTTAGGCTTTGGTTATTTGGTTATGTTTGTAGACAGGGTCATGCTTTTTGCCTAAGCTAGCCTAGACCATGATGCTCTTATATACACTTTTTACTGTAACTGAACCAACACACACACCACCATACTTTCCTTTCCTATTGAGATGGAGTCTTATGAACTTTATTTGTGTATGTGTCAATACTGGGGCTTGAACTCAGTGTCTGAGTGCTGTCCCTTAGCTTTTTCCACTCAAGACTGGCACCCTACCACTTGAGCCATACCTCTACTTCTGGTTTTTTGGTGGTTAATTGGAGAGAAGAGTGTCACTGACTTTCCTGCCTTGATTAGCTTTGGACCACCATCCTTAGGTCTCAGCCTCCTGAGTAGCTAGGATTACAGGTATGAGCCAGCAGCACCTGTTCTTGTCTCGTTAACTTTTTGCCCAGGTTAGCCTGGAACCATAATCCTCCCAATCTCAGCCACTGGAGTACCTAGATTTACGAGCATGTGCCACGCTGCCTAGCAAATAGATACATTTAATAGTTTAATCTAGTAAATAGGATTTAAGACATCACTGGTAAGCATTTGAAGGTTAGGATTAGCTTTGTGGTTAGTTTATTAGTTCAGTGTTGCGAATGATAATTTTTTTGTAAGACCATTCCAACTCTAAAAGTAGTGGTTGCTCAATATTGGGGGGGAGGGGAAGGTACTTACAATGGATTAGTTTCCTTTATAAATTTAGTTTCATGTCTCTTGTTTTTTCATCTCTCTCTCTCTCTCTCTCTCTATATATATATATACCAAACTTGTCTGACTTGCACATCCTCTACAGTTAAAATAGGAAAGACTTAGACAGTGAAATACAAGAACACAGAGTGAGCCAGGCGCCTGTGACTTACATTTGTAATCCTACCTACTCAGGAGGTTAAGATCTGAGAATCATGGTTCAAAGCCATCCCAGACAGGCAGTAAAGTCTGTGAGAAAAAAAAAAAAGCTACAAGTGTAGCTGTGCACTAGATTTGAGCAAAAGAAGCTCAGGGACAGCACTTAGGCCCTGAGTTCAGGCTCCTGGACCAGCACAATTAAAAGAACACAGAGTCTTAAGAAAAAGAAATTGAATGCAACTGGGCTTCCGGTTAAATGGGTGAAAACTGGAGCAGGAAATCCTCAGGATGTCCAAATAGTGATGCTCCCCACTCTTCTACCTCTGTTGCTTTGTGCCTTTTAGAATTAGCCCTGTCTCTCCCAGTTGGTTCGGGTGCTCTTCAGATGTCATGATGGAGTATGGTCTGAGTTGACTTATTTCCTGGCCCAGCCCCTGGAAAATGCTTCTACTTTGGGCAGGTCAACCTGGAGTCTCGAGGGGAGATTGCAAAAGGGCTGTCAGGGGCCCAACTCTGTGTGTGTGTGTGTGTGTGTGTGTGTGTGGGTGGGTGTGTGTGGGTGGGTGGGTGTGTATGTGCGCGTGCGCATGAGCGCATGTACATGCCATTATGAGATTAGCATGCCTTCCAAAAGCATTCTTCTAGGGTTATAGTAACAGCAACAGTATGACTAGGTTATTAGGTTTATGAAAACTGTGACTGGGAATGAGGATAAGGGTTGGTTGAGTAGAAGCCTTTCTTTTATTCCTTTATTTGACAAAGGATCTCATTATGTATCTTTGACAAAGGATCTCATTATATATCCCAGGCTGACCTGGAGCTCGTGTTCTTCCTACGTTAGCACTGGGATTACAGGTGCACACTGCCATGCTCAGCTTGAGCAGACTTTTTTTTTTTAAATAATAATCATGTGAGGAAGAAGAACCTTACTGCATATAGGAGATTTTAATTCAGTATTTCATTTTCTTTGTCACAGGTTAGTGGTTACTTGGATGATTGCACCTGTGATGTTGAAACCATCGATAGATTTAATAACTACAGACTTTTCCCAAGACTGCAAAAACTTCTTGAAAGTGACTACTTTAGATATTACAAGGTATTAATTTTTTTGTGTGTGTAAGAATACTTCTGACATGCAATTACATTTCTTAAGAATTGCTTTGAGATTATGGTAACAAAATAGTTAGAAGTTTGGATATCTATTAGCTCTTTTAATTTCAATAGCAATTTTATACTCTGGTGTTAGAAACTCATTGGTTAAATTGAAGTCAGAACAGAAACTCTTACATTGTTTTCAAAATAGTTCAAACTTCTTTCAAACGTCATATTGACTCTAACTAATGAAAATAAATTTAAAAAAATTGTGATGAGGCATTTCAACCATTACTTTTTTTATTTCAACCCATTACTTTAACAAGTCACTCGGAACATGTTCTGTTAAGAGAACCACTGAAAGAATCTAGAAAACTAGGTTACTGGAGTATTTGGTTGCTGTCTGAAAGCACAATTGGCTAACTGTTTTCTACTGTTATGTGTGGCTTTAAAACTATGAGAGTTGCCCGGCGCTGGTGGCTCACGCCTGTAATCCTAGCTACTCAGGAGGCTGAGATCTGAGGATCATGGTTCAAAGCCACCCAGGCAGGAAAGTCCATGAGACTCTTATCTCCAATAAACCACTAGAAAACCAGAAGTGGCATTGTGGCTCAAGTGGTAGAGCACTCGCCTTGAGCTGAAGAGCTGAGGGACAGTGCCCAGGCCCAGAGTTCAAGCCCCATGACTAACCAACCAACCAACCAAACAAACAAACAAAAACTATGAGAATTGGTCAGCAGTGATATAAGCCAATGTTGACTCCTAGCTGCTATCTATTTAGTGGTGCATGTTGTCTTTCTAACTACGTCTGCCACTTACCTATGTTAGGTACACATCTGTACAAATAGGTAAGTGGGATCAATAGCATAATTGTAGACAGCATAGCAGGCTGTAGCATCATAATTCAACAGCTGGCAATGTAATCTCAGGATTCATATTTCTACAACTTTTTTCTGTTATCATTTAACAGGTAAACCTGAAGAGGCCATGTCCTTTCTGGAGTGATATCAACCAGTGTGGAAGAAGGGACTGTGCAGTCAAACCTTGTCAATCTGTAAGAACCATATAGACATTTAAGAACTACTGTATTTTTACTGTCAGGTACAGTCCCTTCCCCCTTCCCCTGTGCTGAGGCTTGAACCCAGGTCCTGGAGCTCTCATTCAGCTCATGGACTTTCCTGCCCAGGTTGGCTTGGAACCTCAATCCTCAGATCCGCAGATCCTCAGCCTCCTGGCTAGCTAGGATTACAGGTATGAGCCACTGGTGTAGGGCTTACTTTTTTTTTTTTTTAATTAGCTTATGTTAATTATTATGGGGAAGGGCAGATTTCATTGTTACATTTCTACATATGTTTACAATGTACCCAATCATTCTCATCTACTCTATTACTCTCCCTGCACTCTTTTCCCAAACAATTTAAAAAGATTTCATTGTTCTGCTTTCAAAATACAAACACTTTACTTGGAAAGTCCTCTTTCTTCCTCCTTCTTATCCCAATCCCCTTCTACTAGTACCAGTCTTTTTCTCTTTCCCTGCCCCTATTCCCCTTTTGGTTTAGTTTTCATTGAGTTTCTTTAGGTTGTTTTGAAGATTTTCACAAATACATCCCGCCCCCCAAAGAAAAGGCTGTGTACACACACACACACACACACACACACACACGCACACACATCTTCAACCTAGCAATTCATTTAGGAGTTTCACCTAGTAAAGAAATTGGACTGATGTTCAAAGATGGATATAAGGCAGCCACAAATATTATAGAGCTGATTTTGTTGAGATGTAGGCATTGGACACTGTTTATTCTTGGTTGGGATTTTTTATTTTTGGTCGAGGGGCTTGAACTCTGGGCCTCAGCCTTGTGCCTCAGGTCTTCAGCTCAAGGTTTAGCACTCTACCACTTGAACCACAGCGCCATTTCCCAGACACTGCTTATTATATGAGAAAACATGTCCAGCTATTGAGAACAATACCCACTGATCTAGTTCCAAGTGTGGAAGTTCACCATGGGGTAGGCTGTGTGTGGGTCCTGGGGAGATAGTTGGCAGTTTCAGAGTTCTGGTTCTATCTCTGCTCTTGGCATTACTGACTCTAAGTGGTTGTTCCTGTAGTCAGAAGTAGCCAACAAGACTAAACAGTTCTGCTTTCCTTGGTAAAGTCCAGGGCTCCTTAAGAAATGCTTGATTCTAAGAGTGAAGCGAGCAATATGCAAGATGAGCCCAGAATATTTTGCCATCATAAAATAAATGCTTCTAAGGGGCTTCCCAGGCATTATCCAAAGGACACAAGTGCTTAGTCAGTACTTAGTATTCCCTAGTGGAAAACGGGGGACAATTTGAATCCTAAAGGGAATAATGTAAGTTTTTTATATTTCCAGTTTTTGAAATTTTATTTTCTTTTAAGAAATCATATGGGGGGGGAGATGGGAAGGAATAGTAAGGGGAAACAAAGGAGGAGGCAACAATGCTTGATAAGAAATGTACTCATTACCTTGCTCATGTAATTGTAACCCTTCTGTATGGTATTTTCACAATTAAAAAAAAAGAAATCATATAAAACCATGTAATTGAAAATCTGTTAACTGCAAGGTTTCATGAATTTTTCTCATAGATAGTAGAAATTTAAAATATTTTTGCAGAAGACAGAATGTTGTCAAAGAATATGCATTTTTCTTTTTCAGGATGAGGTTCCTGATGGAATTAAATCTGCAAGCTATAAGGTAGGCTCATAGACTTATTGCTGCTTCTAGTATAGATATATATATTTTCAGTTCTATGGATTGAATATAATATAATTCATGGTAGGCAAATATTCTGTCACCTGAACAAATCCCTAAACCCTTTTGTTTGTATTTTGTTTTTGAGATAGAGTCTAACTTAGCTTGGACAGGCTTCCAACTTGTAATCCTTCAGTCTCTTGACATACAGGTGTATACCACCATGCTTAGCCTTGGGTCTAGTTTTTTAATGAAAAATTGAAAGATCTATTTCCTGTGTCATTTATTGCTCCATTTCTCTTCTCTCCTGATGGTTTAATTTTGGTGCCAGTCTTGGGGCTTGAACTGAAGGCCTGGATACTTTCACTCAAGGCTAGTTCTCTATCACTTGAGCCACAGCTCCATTTCCAGCTTTTGGGTGGTTAATTGGAGATAAGAGTCACAGACTTTCCTGTCTGGGCTGGCTTTGAACCATAGTCCTCAGATATCTGCCTCCTGAGTAGCTAGGATTATAGGCATGAGCCACTAGAACTCAGCTTTTTCCAGTTATTTTAAAACCAATCTTAGATAAACCCGTTTGTTTATAATTGTTACATGGTTGTAAGATTTCAGAATTAAAGTTTCAGAAGTAAGGTAGATACAATTGAAATTTTTCACCTAATAGAACCTGTAGAAATATTTGGTTTAAAATATTTGCACACATTTTACTTTGGAGAATGTTTTCTTAAATAAAAAACTTTAGATCTGTAGAAAAGGGTCCATTTAAGTTTAAAGTTGATTAGTCATAAAAAATATAACTTTGAAGAGAGTATGGGAAATTTTATGAAAAATTAAAAATGATGAGAACATATTTGAAAAATATTTTCTTCAGCAACATGCCAATGATATCACATTAAGAAAAATGTAATTTATTCATGAAGCTAGAGAATTATTAAATAAGAACTAAGAACAGTCGTTTGGTTTGGCTTATTTTTAAATATTCAGATAATCACACTAGGGTTTTACATTTTTGTTGTAGTATGCACAGATCTATTTTAAAACAAATTTTCTCTCTTTTTTTTTTTTGTGCTGATTCTGCAACTTAAACCAGGGACTAGGTGCCGTCTCTTAGCTTTTTTTGCTTGAAACTGGGGCTGTCCCATTTGAGCCACACTGACACTTCGGGCTTTTTGGTGATTCATTGGAGATAAAAATCCCGTGAACTTTTCCTGCCTGGGCTGGCTTTACACCATGATCTTTAGATCCCAGACTGTGGGGTAGCGAAGATTATAGTCATGAGCAAGCAGCCCTTGATCTGGCTGAGCTTTTATGCATATGTTCTAGACATGGGAAGAAACGTGGTTGTTTAGGAATATATTTTGAATGCCTAAAGCTATTAGAATAGTTTTTATAAGACTTGGTAAGCTCTGGGCATTCTTAGAATCATGGAACAGGTTGAACCTTAGATACATGTGATCCGGTCGTACTGACAGTTACTACCTTTATGGAAGGGAAAATGAATGCCCTCAGTCATTGGACTAGTGAGACAGTGTGTCCTCACTGCTTGCCTCATGACTTCCTTCCAGCTCAAAAGTTTTCTTCATGAACACTTTACTAATGGTTTTTCTTAGAACTGTAGTCTCTGTTTTGTGAGCATGATCATAAACTGTTCTCCAACAAAAACAAAAGGCCACACCTTTTAATATGAGAACTTGTTTTTTACGTTTGGAGGCCAGAGTGATGGCAGCAGGTATACAGAAGGACTCAGTGGACTTCTACATTGTGTATTAAGTTTTTTTTTTTTTGGCCTGTCCTGGGGCTTAAACTCAAGGCCTGAGCATAGTCCCTGAGTGTCTCTGTGCTTGAGGCTAGCGCTTTTCCACTTGAGCCAAAGTGCCACTTCTTTTTCTGTGTATGTGGTACTGAGGGATCGAACTCAGGACTTCATGCATGCTATGCAAGCACTCTACCACTAGGCCACATTCCCAGCCCCTTGTGTAATAAGTTTTTAAATGTAATAAGTTGCATTCTATTTTGCTCCCCTTCTTGTTTTAGTACTCAGAAGAAGCCAACCTCCTTGAGGAATGTGAGCAAGCTGAGCGACTTGGGGCAGTGGATGAATCGCTGAGGTGTGGTTTGTTTTGAGCAGTAGAAGTAGTACTCTGTTTCTTTTGTGCCATGGGTTAAGGAAGGAATAACACTGTTCTCTTTGTTTGAAGTGAGGAAACACAGAAGGCTGTTCTTCAGTGGGCCAAGCATGATGACTCTTCAGACAACTTTTGTGAGGCGGATGGTACGGCACTTTTCTTTATATTTAGAATTATACCTAAGAAAACAGTCTTCTTCTTTTTTTTTTTTTTCTCTTCTTTTTTTTTTATTGTGAAAATACTGTACAGAGGGGCAATTACAGGGGCAAGATAGTGAGTACATCTCTTATCAAGCATTGTAGCCTCCTCCTTTGTTTATCCTTCCCATCCCTTCCCATCCTCCCTCCCTCCCCACCCAATCCTCCCCCCCCCTCCAAGTTGTAAAGTTCGTTTTTGACATGACAACTTGTACTTCTCATCGTTGCAACAGGCCCACCTGTATCCTTATTTAAACGACTTGAGAAAACAGTCTTCTAAATGATTGATTGATTGATTGCTGGTACTGGAGCTTAAACTCAGAGCCTGGGTGCTATCCCTGAGCTTTTTTTGTTCAAGGCTGGTCTTCTACCACTTGAGTCTTACATCTGTCTACTTCTGCCATTTTTGTGGTTAATTGGAGATAAAAATGATACAAACGTTTCTGCCTAGGCTGGCTTTGAACTTCAATCCTCAGAGCTCAGCCCCCTGATTAGTTAGGATTATGGGCATGGGCTCTTCATGCTCGGCTTGGGAGTTAACTTTTAAATGATTATAGAGTTTCTGTTTTGGGTCATGGAATAGTTTTAGAAATGAAAAATGGCAATGGTTACATATCATCATTAATAACACTTTTAGTACACAGCATATGGTTTAACTGGAAAATAATGTGATATTTTAAATCACAAAAACAAATTTCCAAGAAAACTGAATTTCTGGGAAAAGAAATTCACCCCATAAGTTTTTACAGTTTTTATATCTAATAGCTTATAATTATTATTTTTATATTTATTCATTTGCTGGTTCTGGGGCTTGAACTCGTGACCTGAGCACTGTCTAGCACTCTATCACTTGAGCCACAGCGCCACTTCTGGCATTTTGGTGGTAAATTAGAGATAAGATTCTCAAAGATTTTCTTGCCCAGCTTGGTTTTGTATCACTATCTCAGCCTCCTGAGTAGTTAGGATTAAAGGCATGAGCTACCTCCCACAATTTTTGTAATGTAATCCATGCATTTTGTTCATTACAAAACCTATTCTTTATATTGCTATTCAAATATTACATATTTTCTTTAATGGTTATCTGTTGCTTTTGGAGAAATGAATATTTAACCATGAAGTCACCACTGCAATCTCTAACATTAATCCAGGGTTCTGGTGTTCAAATTTAATCAAATAGAACCTCCTAGAACTCTTTTTTTTGGGGGTCCGGTCGTGGGGCCTGAACTCTGGGCCTCGGCGCTGTCCCTCAGCTCTTCAGCTCAAGGTTAGCGCTCTACCACTTGAGCCACAGCGCCACGTCTGGCTTTTTTTC